AATCAATTGCAAAACTTTGGTATTTTTATTATGTGTCTTCTCTAGAAATCAATTTTTTCTAGGTTTAGCACCATATATCTGCAAAACTTTGGTCAATTGCAAGACTAACCTGTTTATCAGAGAAGATTTCTCTATGATTTTTCAAATACAAAAGTGATCTAATATTTACAAGGGGAGACTTCTTAAGAAGTATGTTGTCGAGTAGATTTGCCTAGAAATCTTCCTTTGTAAATTTACAATTTCAAAAACAATCTAAATTTACAAAGGAGATTTCTTAAGAAGTCTGATGTGGAGTTGATTCATGGAAATTTCCGTAAAAGTCTTCTTTGAGGAAGTTTTTACGTCAATGTTTAATAAAATTTCATTTTCTCTAAAATTAAAAAAACTTTGTAATATTATTTTGTTAATTCATGTATATTATTTAAATTTAGGGCTCTTGGATGAAATTCATAACTTAATTAGTGACAATTATCAGATTTCAAATACTCATTTTTATTAGGGAAAATTGGAAAATTAGGACACTCTCAACTTGGATTTGTCCCAATAAGACTTTTAGAAGATTTTTTTGGGAAAATAGGATTTTCAAATCTGTTAATACCATAATACCCTTAAAATTAATCAATCAAGGGGAATTATACATTTAAATTATAGATAAAACAAAGCAAAAAAAAAAAAAAAAAAAAAGGGAAAATCGGGACATATGGTTTAGAGGGGAAATCCCAAATCGATAACCCTAATTCTTTTTTACATCATCTTCTCCGCCGAGCTCTCTCCCAGGGTCTCCGCCGAGCTCTCTCCCATGGTGATTCTGACTTCTCTCTGACAACACGTGTGGGATCGGGACCGATCGATCCCAGAAAGAGTCGGTCGATCCCAACGATCGATCTCGATGATTAAACAAAAACATAAAAAAGCACGGAGCAGAAACTGATCGACCTTGTCCAGTTCAGTCGATCTTCACCGATTGATCTATTATAGATCGATCGATCTCTATTTTGGATCGATCGATCCCGATCCCAGATAATAGAACTGAACCAAATCGTGGACAAAATATTCTCTGAGATATTTAGGAAACATCTCAACCGAATATGGAAGTTTCCATATTTTACGGATTACCTAAAATATGTATACTATCTAAGGCAGAACACAGTAGAAAAGGTGGGAAACATATTCTTTCTCAAACGTCACATAAGGTAACATGCAGAATTGGTTATTGCACAAAATCTGGATGAGGTATGTCAATAAGTTATGGTTATAAATCAGTATCTAGCTTCACCTACACCAAAGACATATGGCTTGATTATAACGTTACCAATACTACCTTCGTTAGAATAGACACGAAATGTTATATTACGTTTCATACCTCGGGTCTATCTAGCAAGAACACCCAGTATATGATTTCTAAACTAAGTAAATAACCAGAATGTGTATTCTATCTGTAGCTAGAAGATAAAATAAAATATGATTCCACTTTTAAAAAATAAAAACTTAAACATATATGTTTTCAAGCCTTCTCATATTTTTTCTATTTTTCAAAATTAGTTTACTACTTTTTTCATTAATAAAGGGTAAAACGTGTCTAAAATTGCCAAAAGTATGAGAAGTCCTATATGGACAAATAAAAGTTCAAAGTGTCCCAATTTTCCAATTTTTCCTTTTTATTAATGTTTCTAGCTAATGACTGAATATTTTTATTTTTTTATTTGTAACTTACTTTTTGTAAAACTTGTATTTTTAAGAATGTTAAATAACGTCAAGATATATTTTTTAACTTTTAAAAATGTTAACTGACTTCAGGAATTCAATTCAAGTGGTTTAATGTGTCTTCTTAGATTATAAGATATAAATTTTATAGTTCATTGTTGGGTCAAAATCAGTCACGACAGAGCCGATGCCGAAAAGTATACGATAAATGCTTATTTGAGCAATAACTCTTAAGTAAGTTTTTACCAAAGGACTTCTACGATAAAATTTTGAAATTGCCTTACTCGAGACCACAAAGTTGAGTATCGTTTGACCGAGACAAAATCAAAGGAACAACCGAGACGTTAAAACCGACCGGGCTGGAAAATCAATCCTTGCACGAACCGGTCGCCATATGCCGACCGGATTGATCGTCCAACCTGATGGCGACCGGTTGAGCACCTTACCCAGTCGCCATATGGCGACCGGTCCGGACGAGAACTGGTCGCCATATTGCTACCGGAACGATATGAACCAATGCATTCTCATTTTGAATTCGATACTCTCTTTTAAGCTCTATTGCCATACAGTCTTTCATTTCACATTGATCGTAGTTATCGTTAAGACTTTACGATAAAAACCTCGAAGACTCATGTTATCATATAAATTATGATCGTTCGTATGGACCGGGAATGGTTAACTCTAAGCTCCAACCGCCCTGGTATACGAATGATACGGACTTTTATCAAACCAGCATCGTATCAAGGTCGATTTCCCAAAGAAATCGTAAAAACACATAAAGTTGAAAGACGGCCCAAAGAGGTCTAAACGCGGTTAAAGGCCCACTTACGACTTCATACGGAAATTAGCCCATAAGCGTTATGACGTTTCATCTTTTTCGTAGGGAAGGATAATTTTAATTTTCCGAAGATAAATGTCAAGTTTCAAGGATAATCACGAAGATCGGGGAAAAATAGAATATTTCTATGGGAGGATAAAAATTGGTCTGGTGGCAATAAGAAAGGGCTAAACCGACCTAGGATGATTATATAAGAGGATTCAAGACGAGAAAACAAGGAGAGACTTTTCATACACATCAATCTTAGCACTTAGAGCGATTTGGCATTTTTTCGTTTATGATATCGAGCTGCGACTCAATTAGGGTTTTTCAGTCTTAGGTTGTTAGATCTAGGGAATTACGCCAACAGATCTTTCAGCCGAGGCTCTTACCTGGTTGTAACGCTCTTACACATATTTGGAATAAGATCACTTTTGCTCTCTTTTCGATTTGTTATACTTATTATTTACCTATCTCGTGTTTCTGATTGCTTGACCTGTGATTGTCTAGATTGTCTGGGACCTCTGGGAGATTTTGGTTAACCTTACTCTCCTAAATTGACGCAAATCGACAGTGTGAATTTTGGTTCCCACATCCATCAGGTTTTCAAATTTCAGTTTTTACTTCTTTTTTTCAATTTTTACTTAAAAAGGTAGGCTTTCCTGCTTTAATTTTAATTTTTCGCTTAAATTGTAGTTTCCCGCTTAATTTGCGTGAAGTTTTTTGAGAAGTCATGTGATAAGTCTTCTGTAAATTCTTATGATAAGTCTTCCGAAGACTTCCAGGAAGTTTTCCGAAAACTTCCAGGAAAACTTCCCAGAAAACTTCTAGTGAAAGTGTTATATTTTTGTAATGTTTGATCTTTAGTGAATTTGAAAAAGTTTTCTTGAGAAGTATTTTCTCTTATTTTAGTAAATTGGACTAAGTTTTTGTGTTATTGGTTTTTGCTATGAAAGGGTAGAATGGTAAAAATATTTTTTGGTATGTTGTATCAATAACTTCAATATTTTCATGTACTTTTGAAATATAATAGACATTGTCATATTTACTAAATTATTTCACTAACACTTTTACAAACTTACAAAACAATCCACTTGACATCATGTCTTTGTACAAAACATACCATAAACAAAACTACTACCCATGAACTTAGACATCATTCCTCGACATAGATAAGTTTGGACTCCACTTGACATCATCTCTTCATACCACTTTGGGCAAGCTGTGAGCATAGATTTTCTAATCTGTGAGAATGACACTCATCTCAAAAAGCTGCAACCCAAACAATATAACATCAACATCATAAACTTTGATAGTTCTCCATGTTCATTTGCTTATATAAACGATAATGTTACATTCTTTAACAAATTTATATAAATAAACTGAGTAAGAGAACAAATAATTTGATGGAAGAAACAAACCTGAGTGTGTCACAGATGATGGAAATTTCATATTTCAGGTTTTTGAAGATTTTCTGGACGACTTCATGAACACGAAATCTTCAAGTCTTCTGAAGTCTTTCCAATTAGAAAGACTTCAGAGGATTTTTAAAGACTTCATGGAATACTTTGGAAGACTTCGAAAACCTGAAACTTCCATCAGCTTCAACACACTGAGATTTGTTTACCAGATGAAGAAAAATGTAAGAGTTTCAAATTAGAGAATCATTTTTAAGATATTTAGCAAAAAAAAAAAGAGAATTATTTTAAAGATAATTTATAATGTTTTTGTTTTTGACTAAGATAATTGATATGTTAACATAAACATTTATGACAATGAAACTTATTTTTCCGAGAACTGTATATAAATATATGTGTTGCTTAATTAGAGAATTATTTTTACGATCTTTAGCAAAAAAAAAACAATTATTTAAAAGATAATTGATATTTTTTTTTTTGACTAAGATAATTGATATGTTAACATAAACATTTATGACAATGAACATTATTTTTCCAAGAACTATATATAAATATATGTGTTGAGCTCTTATCTCCTCAAATCATTCTTAGTCATAAAAGTAAAGTTATACAAGTTTAGTAAAATGGATCCTAAAATGATGATAGAAAAAGTGTTAACAGACTCTGATCTATCTGTACAAGGTACTGTAACATCCCGAGTTGTGATATATGGAAAGGCTTAAGAGGATTGATTTGACTACCTATGTCACCAAAGTGCACTTACCTTTTCGAGAGCACATCCAGAGAGAACTCCAGAGTTAAGCGTGCTTGAGCTGGAGTAGTCAAAGGATGGGTGACCTATCGGGAAGTGATTTGTGATACCGTGTAAGTGAGGCCAAAGCACGAGGAAAGGTCATGTGGTGATTGCAGGGTCAGTAAACATGATTCCAGAGCCTTCGAAAATTAACGGACAGATCGTTGGAACGGGATGGGATCCACGGGTCGAAAGAGCGGGCGTGGGTGGTCCATTAGTCGTGGGCGGTCGGGGCGTTACAGGTACATTATATTTACCAAAAAGAAATATGGAGAACATAGAGAAGAACCTGGGATTTCCTCTGCCCCAAAATGGTGCTCAAGTGGAAATTCTGGACAATGACAAATCCTATTGGGTAAACCTTAACAAAAAAGATTCTAGTTATATTATAAAACGTGGGTGGAACAAAATCAGAGATGACAGAGGTCTCAAAGCAGGTGATATCATCCAATTGTATTGGACATCTAACAAATTCATTTTCTTTATGTGGTGAGTCTTCTTTTGTTTTATTTATAAATGTGAAAATTATATTTTCTTTATGTGTGCGTGTCTTTTTTTTTCTTTTTCAAAAAATTATCTATCCTTGGTTATATATTTTCTTTATAGATATATAATTACTAGTGTTTGTTTTAACTAGTTAAGTTTTAGATGAGTTTTATACATGTATCAGAAAAAACAGTTCCATGCGATTTAATTATCATCTAAAGTGTGGAAATTATATGACCCAAAAAGCAATATGGAAAAACGAGTTATTATATCGTAGCTATAAACACACTTGCAACAATAATATATATATATAGTAGATGTTAGTATTTATAGTAAATGTTTGAAATTTTGACAGTCCATGGCCTACAGAAGAACAAGAATATCAAGAAGGAGAGAGCAGCTCGTATAATTAAACTATGGGAGAACAATAACATAAAGTTTATTGAAAAACAATAAATGGTGTCATATCAACCTAATAAAAGTTTAATGAAGAACAATAAATAATGCAAAATAAATGGTGTATGATCAACATAACAAAAGTTGAATGAATAATATAATAAATTTCAGTTCTTTCACAAAAAAACTAATATAATAAATTTCATATAAGTGGTATAATAAGTGCGATAGAAATGATGGTTCGATACACCACAAGCTTCTTACAAAGCTGGTGCAATACTGAAACACATTCTCTTTCTTTTTTTTCTTTTTTTTTTCAGTCTTGAAAATCTTTACCCGTACTGGCATTGATCATTCCTCCAAAAATATTGGCTTAGATTCCGGCACCAATATTAGCAAACTCATTACAAATGCAGATTTTTCTATCGTGTTCAATATCAAATATGTTTGATCTAAATTCTGCCATAATTTTGACCAATTGTATTATAATGTGTTTGAAAACATATCAAACTTGAGTCAGGTCTTTGAACTTACAAATCAAATATGCTTTTGGGTTTGGATCAGATTTACTTTCAAAAATTTGATACAACCCTAAAAGTTTTTATTTCATCTGATTGGACCCCAAAGGATGATTTGAATATAATTTTGATGAATCATGTATAACAAATAACTGGTGTAACTCTTGATACAATAAAATACTTAAAATAAGTTTGCATATATTGCTCGATAATATGTTAGTTACGAATTAGTTTTCAACTATTTTTTGAATAATCAATTCAACCCCCATAAGATTTTTATTTGATCTAATCGCCTTGAAATGATGGTTTAGTATAATGTTGAGAACCTCATGTATATAACCATGTAGTATAAATAGTTGGTGTAATTAGTTACATAGTACAATAGTATTTAGGATGGATATGAATACATTACTCCATAGTATGTGTATCTACGAATATATCCTCTACAAATAAAATTTCATTGTTCAATGTATTTGGATTTCATCTAAACTATGTAATTTATAAAGCATGGAAACCATATGCAAAAACAAACAAGTAAATATACTAGATGGTAAGAGTTTTACTTAGAATTTTTTGTGAAAAATGTCATTTTAATATATATTTTTGTTTTTAAACAAAAGTGTTATTTTAGAATTCCAATACATCTTTCAACTTAATAGTAATTCTGAATGCATTGATTTTATAAATAATTTTATTTATTTAAACATTTGGTTGAATATATGTACTTAATACAAATTTAAACACATTTCAATCATTTTCTTAATATGTGTGAAAAAATATCAGAATGACACTTTGCGAAGCAGAGAGAGTATATCCTAATAATTTTACTAATCACATGTATACTAATATACCATGATTTTGACCCATTTTAGTCATGATGTATTAGTTTTTTATATATATTTATTATATTATAGAAGCGTTGAAGCATATTTATAGATTCATGAGCATTTTAGAAGAAAGTGATGTTTTGGAGCATTTTAGAGAGAATTGGAGATATCATTCGGTTTCGGAATCGACCAAGACGATGAGGTCGACACAGAGTGATTCATGTCGATAGATATGCACTCTGCATAATCAATCGATACCGAAGGCGCGGAAGACCAATTCGCGAGACAGCCGACTTGAAGTCCAAACTTCACCAAATTTTACGATTATGCCCTTGACGAGTTTTAACCTAAGTTTATATACTCTGCCAAAGTGTTAGAGGCAGAGAGATATTTTTGGTATTCTTTTCACAGAAAAAAATATTTTAGGATTTATATTTTGGGAGAGAAGATCAACGGAGAGATTTGTGATTGGAATTCTATCTATTCATAATTATGCAGTTTTATTACTTTGCTTGTGTTATGATTTTCTTAGCTAAATCTGAGTGATTCACTTGTTAGAATTAGGGTTTAAATAGGTTAGTGGCATTAGCCCCAACTATAGGACCGCTTGTTGTGGTATTCATAAGTAGGATGTTCTTAATACTTATGTTCTAGACTTGCTAACTATAAAATATAGGATTGTTAGGTTGTTTAAGCATCCTTAGATAACTTTGATAATCTTAAATACATCCTTATTAAGCTAGGATTTTTACTAGATATAAGGCGAACACTTGACTAGCCGCATCGATCGATATACCCTCTGAAAATTGATCGACGTTGAGTAAAGTGTATCGATCGATATCCATATAGAATAATCGATCGACACTGTTATTGGTCGGACACTTTTGTTTGGGTTAATAATAATCTAGTCAATAGACTTATTTACTAAGCGAACGTTTAGTAAATCTGTTATTAAAATAGTTAAGCTCTTTAATACCATGCAAACAACTAATTAGCACCTATAGGCTTATATTCTCCAACACCTGAATAAAAGTCCTAAGACTAACACCTTTCCATTTAAGTTCAAATTCCCAGTCCATTATGTCGAGTAATTGTCTTGCTCAAATAGAATATTTACTATTTCTTGTCTACTGCAATTTTATATTTAAACATTCACCTAGTATTATTGCTTGATTAGATTTAAGTGGTTCCTTAGTTCCTTGTGGATTCGATCCTTAAGTACTACAATAAATCTCTTATTTGAGAGAGTAAGTACTTCATAGGGTAATTTGAGCACGTATCATATACTAAGAATTCACTAAGAACATTTTTACTAAAGAAAATAAACAAGTACTTATACAACATACAAATAAGAATTTTATATGTAGAAAATTCAATCTATAATAGATGCTAACATACACATAAGAATTTTACACGTATCGATTTTGACTCTTTCTATTTCATATCTTATGCACAAAAACTACACCTCTCTCAATTTCTCTCCATGTTCATCCAATAAAAAACCCCAATTTTTTATTCTAAAGTTTTTAAGGTTCATATAGCCATTCAAGCTCATGATTTCTGGTCATTAACGATTGAGTATTTGTCGTGGTGAAGTTATGTGTGCTTAAAAGAACTAAGCAAGTTTTCTCAGTGGTTGAAGGTATGAATCAAATTTTTTTCCTAGATCTGTTCACGAGAAGACTTATGTGTAAGTCTTGGAAGACTTCCATGTAAGTCTTCTCGACAGCAAGGACTTCTGTATAAGTCTTCTAGTCAAAGCATATGTTAGTTTTGCAATTGGCTTTCTTTTTTTTTATTAGAGAAGAAGTTCGTGGAAGTCTTCCAACTTTTCTTTGTTGACAAAAAAAAATCGAGAACACTTCCCAAATAAACATGTTAGTTTTTCAATTGACTGAATTGTGTCAGAAATATCACTTTCTATACAAGACTTCCCGGTAAATCTTCCGCCGGAAGAATTCCACGGAAGTCTTCTCAACATTTACATTAAGTTTGCTCGATATTGGTGGAAGTCTGTGTAGGTTACTTTTGCAATTCAAAATTTAAATTTAAACATTTAATTTAAACTGAAAGACATCGAGGTAAGTTACGTGGAAGTCTTCCAAATTTTTATTCTGTGATTTTGGTTAAACCTAAGGTAATGACATATAACTTTCAAGGAAGTCTTCCAGCGGAAGACTTTCCTGAAAGTCTTCCAGTTTAAATTAAATGTTTAAGTTGAGATATAGTCAAATATAGTCAATTGCAAACGTAAGCCAATATTTTCAAAGGAAGACTTCCTTAGAAGTCTGCAATAGAGAAGACTTCTCTGAAATTCTTCCTTTGTAAATTTTCAATTGCAAAGTTGACCTAAATGTAAGATTTCCACGGAAGTCTTCTCTTTCCCATAGAAGACTTCCGCGGAAGTCTTCAATGACAATGTATAATAATTTTTCATTTTTTCAAATTTAAAATAAATTTTTAAGATTTTATTGTTAATTCATGTGCATTAGTCAATATTTGGGCTCCTTAATGAAATTCATAACTTAATTGTTGATAATTGAGAGATTATCGAATATGTTTATTAATGTTTCTAACTCATAAGAGAAGACTTTCCAAGAAGTCTTTTGGGTTAAATTTTTTAAAGTTATTATGTTTTATGTTTGCTAATGTGTTCCTATTTTATTTTTGCAGATGATGCGTAAGTTAACTAAGGTCTACCGAGAATGGTTGTTGAAAGATGACTTTATGAGGTTACCAACATCCGTGTTTATTAAAATTTCTATCTAATTTGAAGTCTTCTATGTTAGTTTACTTAAATTTGTTAAGTAACTTTAAGATATTGTTTTTTTCAAAAGTGTTAAGTAACTTTAAGAATATCAAGACATATAGTTTAATGTGTCTTCTTTGATCCTAAGATATACTTTAACTTTCATGAAATTTGAAATTTCAATTTTCACTTAAAATTTTGAGTTTCCTTCTTAGATTTTAATTTTCGCTTTCAATTTAAGTCATCCGAAAAGACTTCCCGAAGTCATCTAGAAGACTTCCCAAAAGACTTCTAGTGAACGTGTTCTATCTTTGAACTTATGTAATGTTTGGTATTGTGTAAATTTGACTAAGTTTTCTTGAGAAGTTTACTTCTTTAATTGTAATAAATTTGACTATTTCATGTGTTATTGTGTTTTACAAGTTGTATCAATAGCTTCAATAATGCCAAGTAATTTTGGCAAGATAATAGTGTGGACAATAAACATATTTACCATATTTTTTATTAATACTTCTTTAAATTTACAAAAACAAATTCACAGCTAAAGAGTACACATACAAATCATAAAACAGACCATAAAAAACTATTATAAATCATTTCTCCACAAAGATAAGCTTGGACTCCATTTGATATGGCAGAAGACTTGTCAGAAGACTTCCTAGAAGTCTTCTAGCGCATTATATGTTAGAAGACTTTTAAGAAGACTTCACATAAGTTTTTTTTCAAGTTTGACTCGGATCTGAAAAACCTACAAATTCAAAAATGTGATGAAAACCTGCATAAAAATTAATTAGTAAGAAAGACATGAGAAATTGATATAAAGTTTGGTGTTTTCATGTTTAAAGAGATTAGAGAGAGGTTGGAGAATTTTAGTTTGAAACAAAGTAAGAGTTTTATGCAATAAGAGTTTACTAAATGAAACTCACCAAATGTTCAGATCAGTTATGACAGAGGGGATTAGAAGAAGACTACGTCAGAAGACTTCCATGAAGAGATTTATGCAACACTGGAAGTCTTCTGAAAGTCTTCCAAAGTCTAACCAGATCTGAAGAAACATGTATATCCAAAAAACGTTCAAATGACATCAAAACAGAAAAAAATTCATAAAACAATGTTTAAGCTTAAATAATAACTAAAACAATCACATTACGTTGAATCTACAACTTATTAGAATCTAATATGTAAAACACACAAAAGTACATATCCAAAATTTATAAATCTACCTTTAAATGAATGAAAGATGACAATTGTGTAATG